CTCCTGGTTTCGAACGATTTACTTACTCCACCGTAGACCCTTACGCCGATTTTTGTATCCCTTAAGGATGTCAAGCGATAAAGTATCGCAGAAGTCAACACTTTTGTGATTATCGGAACTTAACTAATCCCACGGTATTTTGCGCAGTCATGGCGTGATCCGTTCTCTTATAATAGAGATAATCATTGATTCACCTCAGAACAAAGAGATACGCTCCTCCGTCCAAATCCTGCGAAGCAAGCTGGTACTTGAGTCAACAAGAGAATCTCCGCTCATCTTGAAAAAAATAGAGAGAAGCCAATCAGGTCCCGCAGCCTTTCCTTTCTTTAATGATTGAAGGCAGCTTAGTACTTCCAATTCTGATGGGGGCTCGCATGTTACCACCCATGGAGTTTCCGCCGAAAATACTGGAATGACCACATTAGCACTGGGTCAGTTGAACTGTTCACTAAAATATCAAGTCGTTTTTCTTTATTGTGGATACTCTGTCCCCGTTTATCGCAAATGGTCTTATTGCCCGGTATGCGACGACCTCCGGTGCTGCGTATCAGGTGAAAGTCTTTGACTATTCCCTGATGCAGAAACTACCTCCATTTCACTAGCTATTTTGGTCCACCATTTTTTCAATCGTTCTTAAGGTTTCTCCTGAGTTGACGTCGCAGACGACACCGGTCCTTATGCTGATCCTGGCGGATTGGGATCTTTCGCTTTTGATACATTAGGGTTACTGACTCCTGAGAGATCCAATGTCTTCGGGGAACTTCGGGCTCAGTCCCACAAGCAAAGTTTGCAGCCGAGTGCATCGCAAATCTAATTTGGTCCCACTGTTGGTCTACTCCACTATGTGGCGGTTCTCCTAGCTCCTGTCCCAGCTTCTCCTCATAACGTGCGCAGACAGCTGGATCGCGCAGACAACGATGAGCAAACCTAGGAGGCGATTTCCGCCGATGACCAATGAGTCGAAGAGCGAAGCGTAGCAGAACCAGTGCATGATCCGACTCAACGCCGGCGTGCTTTAGACCCCATGGTCCTAGGTTCGAGCCC